TGTATGTAGTTATAATGCTGAGTTCTAACAGCAGAAAGATCAGAAAAGAGAAATGCTCAAATCAGAATCACTGACAGAACTTCAGTTCTGAGGTGCTTAGTTTTGAAAAATCAAGGCGCAAAGGTGTCCAATTTCCATCAGTTTTCAGTCTCAACATCTGCCATATGCATAAAAAAATTTACAAAGTTGCAATATTTTAAACTGCATTTTTTTTTGTATTGTACCATCTATATCATATTATTCCCTATTTTGAAGATAATCTCTGTAAGAGAAACTAAAAAACTAAAGCAAAACAAATCGTATTTATATGTTAATAAGCATCCAACAGATCTGTGTATAATTATCTAAGCAGCTTACATCTGTAATTATGGGCGAGGTTACTTTAGACTTGAACAAAAAGCCTGCAGTGCAGATTTTCACAATTAGCTGCCTGTACTACCATGGGCTTGTTTGTCTACAAAATGGATAGTGCCAAGTACATGCAACTAACTAGAAGCTGAGCTACTCACATACTCCTTTTAAATATACTTGAGCCCTAATTGATAGTAAGGTAACAAACAAATTTTGTTTTGCAGAGTGGGAGTGGAAAAGTTATCTATTTTTTCTTTAAAGCAGCATTTCTATATCCTAAACAGTACTTTGATTACTTTACCACTGTCAGATGTCTTCCAGAATAAAAGTGCTAATGAAAATTAGGTATTCAAGAATCTATTCAGCAGGCAAAAGACTACAATCCCACAATGAAGAGAGACAACTAGTATTTTTTTTAGGGGAAACAAAAACACCAAAAACAAACGAACTTCAGTAAATTAGAAAAACTGTGATACATAAAAATAATATGGAAAGGTAAAGACAGAGAAGAAGTTGCAATTGATACAGCTACTAAGCATAAGACTTTTTAAAGTGTAAGAAAAATATAAATGGTGACATAACCTATTACTAATTGAGGACAGTAAAACTGCCATGAGGCAAAAAAAAAGTCATATGCAATAAATACGTTACTTGAGGAAACAATTAGGGGGACATATCTTACAAATAAAATGAAGTACTCTCAAATGCTTTAACAGTGGTAGAGATGTTTCCTTTATCACTGAAGAATTTTTAGAAATAAACACTTGTGATGGCAAGGTCAGATGATTTGTTCCTGATAATTCTAGAACACTTGGGGTTGAATCCTCAAGTCTACACAATGGTCATTTTACAATGCTACTGTAGTTCCAGTAAATCATAAGTTAATACTTTGAAGGTATTAAAAAAAAAGTTTAAAAAAACGTATCAACATAGGCCAGAAAGCTTGACACAAGTAGAAAATATATAAAAGAAACAGTAAGTGCTGAAATTAATAAATTAACTGATCAAAATAATCCACATTGACTACCATCAATGTAAGGTGATAACAGCTCACACTCAGGATGACCAAAATGATGATTTTGCAATTGTGAGTACTACTTACAAAAGCGAGCCAATATAATATGTGTCTACATGGCATGACTTACTAGCATGGTGGTTTCAGAACTGTATTAGAGCAATAGAGAACACATCAAGTGAATTAAAATTCAAGATATCACCAAAGTGTATTTAATTTAAAGAGGGAACCTGTATGGACTGTTGCCATATTTATAGCACTCAAAATTTTCTGTGATTCAAAAGTGATTCTAAACACATTTCCTGATGGCATATTGTGGATAAGATGGACATTGACTAAACAGAGTAGAAGTCAGAGCAAGGCCAGAAAGACCAAAGACAACAGACTCACTCAAAATAGGTTATATGAGAAAAAAAATCCAAAGCATACTGATAGGGAATAAGTAGGGGTCCATACTTTAAACAGTAGACTAATCCAAATCTGCACATACCTTTTGTGCAGAATACAAAAATGATCCTACGGAAGACAAGCATGGAGTAACTATTCAGCAGCAGTGGCTATCCTGCATGAGTAATTCTAGTTCTGATTACAGATAATCCCCGAAACAGAAAAAACAGTGAGCTGAGTGTCTGTAACAAGACTGCACACGATTCTAGTTTTTGGCCCAATGCTACTGAAGAAATATCTGCCAATGGGAAAAAAAGGTTGAAGATCACAGACCTTAAAAAACTGGTAATTGCATAGGTGAGATTAAGAAATCCTTTTAGAAAGAAAATTTGGATTTTTATAGATGCTGTAAAGCAATCAACCACTAAGGCTTGGATCTTGCTAATCCTCCTGATGAGAAAAACTGTAATGAAAGACACCACTAGAAGTCAGCATTGCACATAGTAGCCACAGGTGCAAATGAAAGGTCTGTAGAAGTTGTGAGCCTTAAATTCGTTTCCTACCATGACAGTGTCCTTTAAAAAAATGGAAATGTATCACCTGGATTCCTGTGGAATTTAGTAACAAGATCAGTGCACAAATACTGAAACACCATCAATCAAGAAGAGATCAGTTCATATTACATTTGAGTTAATTAAAACATAAACTAGGTTTAGTTTAGAAAAAAAGTCTGTGAAATGAGGTCCTAAAGCAGTAGGAAAGGGTGCTTGTAGAGTAGTGATCCAGACTGAGTAACATCTGGTCACAACGTTCACATCACTGAGATGATCATCCCCAACATGGTCCAGCAAACATGAAACAGGGAGCCAAAAGGCCAGACTCACTTTCAATTTCACTTTTGGGGCAAGTAAATTAATTTGTCCTGCAAGAAACTAATGTCCTGAGGAAGCAAACCTCTGTGAATGACAGCAATTTCTTTGGCAAATATTCAATTTATATATAAATGAAAAGGAACTATCTAGAGACCCTCATCACTCGCACCTGTGGCTGCCCACAGAAAATCTAAACAAATAAGACTATACCAAAAATTCTCCATAGAGTCAGCAAGTAAAAGCAGCATAAGAATCAGACAGCCCATCAAGTGCTTTGTTCAACACTTAACAGAAGATGTTCACAAGACAAGATTATGATGAAGACAAACAGATTTCAGGAGTGGCAATCATATCTCAGTAAGTTCTACCAATTCCCCTTGTAATCAGGGGCAAGAGACAAGGTTCTGCTGCAACACTGGTTCTAGACTCAAAAATGCATTATTATCTGGGACTGTGACCTCTGCTGCTGTAAAATAGCCAGCAGCATTAGACTCTTCTTCCAGAAGAATAGGGGAAAGCAGGGATGCAGGGGAAAGCAGACATCTAAACAGATCCTGAACTGACCTCTCGACATCAAAATGGTACCCTGTCACCAATTCAATCTTCAAAGGAGACAAATTTAAATGAAGCAATAATACTGACCTTTATTCAGCAATGCAGGGTGCAATGGTAGCACCGAATAGCAGCTGAGGTGCTAGACTTGCAACTGCTACAGCTCCACGACAGACTGACAGCATGTGAGCCTATCTCATCTCCTATATCAAAAGCTACATGAACAAACTGGGAGAGTCTGGAGAATTGCCACTAGAAGTCAGCAACTGAAAGTGGTCAGAATAAATAAATTTTGGCTATGTTGATGTTATTTTAACTGGTCTACAGTAATCCATGGTATCCAGGAGTTGGCATTCTGGTTTATTCCCATCTGCATTTTAACTTCAGAACTTTGATATTCAAACATTTTTTTTTCTTTCATATCAACACAGCATCAGCAGCCCTTTCTTCACCTTAAAGCAAGCCATATTTGCTATCCCCATTCTGCCAGTCTTCCCTTTAGACCTGCATCCCACTTCTGTTACCCCAAATGCCTAATTCTTTAGAGGTGTGAAAGAGAAACAAAAGGAAAAGGAAAATCATCTCTCTTCTCCTACGCACACATAGAAGAGGCAGTTTTCAACATGCATGTAAATGTCTATAGACTTTCAAAATTTCTCCTTATACCACACAATCCCTGTCATCTGATTGAAGCAGAGTTTGGATTGAAGGTTTTATAACACAGCCTTCTACCCAAAGTCTAAGGACAACACTTTTATGTAGTGTCAGCTGACTGTCTTAAGTGAACTACAAAAGTCTTTGAGGCCACTGCAACTGTAAGACAGGTTGATTCACACAGATCCTTTTGTTTTTTTCCTTTGTGAGAAATGTCCTTTCATACAACAGCTCGAGTATTGATAATATTGTTATATTATAGACCCAACATCTTTAAGGAACCTCACAGAGCTGGGTTCCACATACAAACCAGGGAAAAATTACCAGTTTCTATCTTCAAACTGGCCTTTGGTTTAAACTGGTAACTTAGAAATGGAATAGAAGTTACTCAAAGGAAATTAAGATTTCACAAGTTCTTTCAAAATTAGGAGTAGAAAGATTCATAAATCCTTCAAGAGTTAATAATGATCATAGACCTGAGCGTTCGCTGTAAATACTGAAAAAAACATCTACTGACTGATGGAAGATTTACTGACACAACAAAAAATGAACAATGAGAGGTTAATCAAAAATACAACAAAAGAGAATGAAGGTCTGCATATTCAATGTTGGCTTTATTATACATTATAGGTAAGTCTTGTAAGTGTTCTCACACTAACATTCAACTTCAATTAGTCTGCATTGTATCAGTGCTCTATTTCCAACAGAAGCAGCTTTCCTGTGCTTTACAATTTGAAATAACCACAGGCTAACAATGAATACATGAAACTATTCTTAACCTCATTAAAAAGTCATAGCTTAAAATGCAACCTCTATAGCACAAAATTCAGTTACATTCACTGTCATAAAATTCAACTATACCATTCTCCCCAGAAGACTTAATACCCACAGCAGCAAGCAGAACTGGCTTGTTATATGAAGACATATTAAAAAAAAAAAACAAACAAACCAAAACCATGGACTCCTACAGTTCCTGTTGTATTTGTGGCTCCCTGGCCTCCTCAGAGAGGAAGGCAACTGCTATATAAAAAGTTTTGTATATGCTACTGCAGACTACAAGCTTCTTTGCAAGCAGGCAACTACACTGACTCACTCAATTTCATGACATTTTCTTGCTCCTAAAATTAAAATTACACATCTATTTTTATTCCATATTACAACATACTTACTCTGCCATTACAAGCCTGACGTTATTGGCATATAACACTGGATTTTTTCTTTCTTCTTCTGAAGGAATATACACCGGTAGAAACTGCATACAAAGAACTGAATTATACCATGAATATTTAACATTTTAAACAATATCTGTTATAGCACTATGGTGAAAAATGTACACAGTTTGTTGTTACTTACAAAATTGTATTAACATAAGGACTATAAAAAAATTAAAAAATGAACTCTTAAATGCTTAAGGATGCATCATACTTCTAGAAATTCATATAACGGTGACTCTGCTCATTTCTTACCTCATGGAACCTAAGTAGAGCTTTATCTTCCTTTTGTAAGTGTGACCAGGAATTTTAAAATAATTTAAAAGCATTAGCATTTTCTTGCACAAACTTTTCTCTTACAGCCTGTATTGTTCAGCTCTTTGCAGATAACCAAGAAAAGTTGGTTTGAACTGCTGCAAGAACATTGTTCAATAGCTTAAACATTAATTCAAATTGTCAGGACATCAAGTATTTACTGTTCCCCTTGCACATTTTGAAATCATATATAACTGCTTAATGTACACATCAGAAGTGTTTTTATCTTCTGTTGTTGGAGGATTTGAAAAATTTCTCCTTCAAATTGGACACTGGATATTAATACTCAAGTGAAAAAAAAATTCTAAATAAATGCAGGTGGCCACAGAATCGCAGAACAGTTGAGACTAGAAGGGGAAAATTAAACCAGAACTGCTAGAGACCTGCAACAGAAAAGGCAGCTTTCAGAACGGTACGGCCTATATTATAAGACCTTCCAGCTTTTGGCTATGTTTTTAAGTACTTACTGAAATATGATGTAAGCCCCAAGATCATGGCCAGTCTCACCTATAAAAACCCTCAAAACATCCCATTTCTGCCAAGTAACTAACTTCTTAGATGGAAGGAACAAGAAGGAATTACTCCAATTCTAACCCCTGCTCAGTACCACAGACAATTCCCTTAGTAGTGCACTGCAATGAGATATTTACGCATTAAGTGAACAAAATGTTTGTAATGCTGTGGAAAGCTGATGAAGTAGAAACCAAATCTGTAATAAGCTTAGTTGTATTTCACATAATTACCTATCTGTAATACAAAGTGGGAATTATGATCCTGAAATTTTACACTGGTCTTTAAAAAAAAGAAATTAAGAATTGGGGAATGAATATAAAGTTTATCATTTAAGCAAATACTTCTCCATAACTATGAAGTTAGCCGTATTTTCAGAATCACATAATGGTATGATCAGCAGTACCCAAAATGCTGTCATTAGATGTTAGTCTAACTGTTTCTTAGAAGTATTCAGTGATGGACAAATCTTTAATTTATTTTGGGGTTTGCTACAGGTTTCCCTCTGTGCACCACTGCAGTTGAAAACATACAACTTCTGTCTTCTAGGCTGACAAGCAGGTATGCCAGCCTGATGTGGTGTAATATATGAAAGAACAAAGACAGTGAAGCTAACAGAGACAGAAAGATTGTTCCTTCCAAGTTCCAAGCACAATTCTATTTCTTTTACTTTGAGCTGCAAATTACTATCAAGCCATTCATCCAAACACAGGACAAGTTTGGATATGAGGTGATTTCAGAGGTGTTATACATGTCTGTGCCTAACTAGACAGAAATAACAAAATCATTTCAGCACCGCTAACAAAACTAAGCGAAGAACTCCCAGCTGCTGCAGACTGTGATGGATGTATAAACACTGAAGCTGACACACCAGCAAAACAAACTGTCATGAGCCAAAACAAACTACATGTGGAGATGATCACATACCCTTTCTTCCTCACAAGACTGCTTGCATCTTGCATGTCAGTTCGAAATACAGGATGGATGGATGGGTGGGCCAATATTTATAGTAACCTACTATAAATTCTACATAGATGCTTGCTTCTCAATATACATACTGGATGACATGTATAATATGCCAGAACATACATTATATGCAGAGAAGCACAGACTAACAAACTTCGGATCCTGATTGCTGGCTGTTAGACCTTACAAGCTATCATTTAATCAAAAACATACTGAAGTTGTGTTTTTTTGCTGTACATCTCCCCGAGTTACTGGATTTTCAGCAGTAATTCTGGTATAAAGGCTGGCTGGTATTTGCCAGTATCTCTGTGCTGATGGAACAAAGCAGGAATAATTATGCCAATAAACTTTGGAGACCAGGGAAAAACATGACTTTGAACACAGAACAACTAATTTTTCCCCCGTCTATGTTCCTAAATCTGCAGCACTTCCTTACAAAAACAGATTCAACAACTAGCTCTTAAGTACTCTGCCTCATTCTTACAAGCAGCCTTGCAAACAAGTCTGCTCTTCTACCTTCTGCCAGCTCTTTCTTTAGCATGGAGTATTTCAGAAAGTCACTAGCTGCCTTTTTTTTTTTTTTAAAAAAAGACCAAAGATATAACTTGTCCTTGTGCAGGTTCTGTATGTGCTACAGAAACTCAGCATCTGCTAGCAGCTGCTGCCTCAAAAATCAAGAAAGCTCAGCAGTGTTCACTTCTGTGTGAAAGGACCCATTTTACTTGCCAAGGGCAGAAAACCATGTTCCTGAGATAGAGTAAAAATCCTGCCAATCAGCTGGGTTTGTCTTATCCCTGCATGAGGCAGTCACTTGCTGTCCCTTCTGGCCACTGTTTTGGAAATAAGATTTTTTTTTTTTAATATACTATTAATATTAGCTGAAAATATGCAACTGAAGTTATTAACACAAACTGCAAATTTCTACAATAGATACAACTGTTCAGTGGCTGGTATTTCGTGCATTCATTGTTTTTGAGAAGAATTTATAGCGTAAACAAACACAGAACATAGCAATAATACTGTGATTAGAATATGTTTTATGTTACTGCTGTAACATATATATGTATATAAATACGTAATAGTTCTTCCTACTAATTTACCCTGCCATCAGTAAGACAGAAGTAATTTAACTTCATTAAATAACTTTATAATTTTAAAACTTAAGTAAAATAACTGCAGAACATCTGTCAAATATAACACCTTTAACACACCATACTTCTCCACAAAAATGTAATTACTTTCTGTAAAATGCATAAGGAGAGCAATTTAAAAGGAAAAATTTTAATTGTTTTTGCATTTTCACGATAATAGTCTTCAGCCTTAGGATCACATACTGTTTTCCTCAAAACAAAGTTAAGAATATATATATAAGCATTTTCTTTGGGTTTTCCAATTTCACATTCTGAACAGTGCAGCCTAATAAAAAGGTTATTTAATATGTCTGGCTAACTTATCTGGCCTATCAGAAGCCACGTACAATGATTCTTCTCTAGAAGATAGTCCTTAGTTTGGACATCAGCATTCACATACTTGGATATTTAACACACACAGTTGGTATACCAGCTGGAATAGCAATCAGGTGGTTAAAAGACAAGAAATTTGTTCACGAAAGACTCTTTTAACAGAGTCAGAAATCTATCTGCTCAATTTAAATGAATAAGAAAGTGAAGTCTTAAGCCAAGTGGAAAACTGTATTTTGTTATTCCATTTTTAGGCTACATTTTCAGATACATTTTGGACAAATGGCTTCTGTAAGTGGTATTTTAACCTGTTTTTACAGACTGTGTTAACATATAAAGTTTGAATACAAACTGTCACTGCAGAATGAAGTACAATATTATGTATTCTGATACTGCTCAGAATGCACTGGGTGTTTTTTTTTTTACTGACCTCAATTTCCACAGAATTGTGAAACTGACACAAAGTAAGCCACAGAATTTCTAACCTAAAAGGGAAAAAAAAAAAAAGGAAAGTATGGAGGAAAAAAAATGTACATGTAGTGAAACAGTCGTACTTTATGCTCCAAAGTCTTCAAGTAACATTCCTACTTGTAGGTACATTCATATTCAGATTCAAAATTAACAGAAATAGTCTTAGAGAGTACTTCTATACATTAGATTCTGTAAGGTGGAACAAAAGCAATTTACACTGAAGTTGCATCCTAAAAGATACCCAAAAGCAGGAAAACAAGCAGTAATAATACAGGTACTAATACATTCAGTAAGATAAGATGTATGCATAGTGTATAAAGAAAGATTAAGTCTGTTTCAGGAAAATGCTGCATTCAGCAGAGTTGACAAGATTAATTATAACCACTAAGATTTTATCATTACCTTGGTTTGGAATTAAATTTCATTATACTTCAGAAGTTTGTTAATGAAATGCAGCACGTGTTTTAGTAGCCCAGGACACAAGATACTGGAATAAACTTGACCTTAGAAAGCTGTAAGATTCAAATCCAGGAAAGGATTTAGTAAACCTAAATTAGGGAGCAGCGTCAGTAGCCACATTTTATACAGTAGCTAGATAGTTACAGCAGTCAATCAGTTGAGAGGAGGGCTGGTCAAAATCCTCTTAGGCAGATAAAGTGCAGTTCCTATAAGCAATACCTTACCCATTTAGCAATACACTCATTCAGGGCTGTAGTACTTCCCCCCTACTTTCCCACTGAACTTCCAACACATTAAAGCAAAGAAAAGGAACAACAGTGGAACTTGTGATTTGAAGTTTACGCCACTGACAGAAAACATGAAAGTCTGGTTTGTAGGTCCTTGTCCAAGAGCATTAAAAATCCCCGTTAAATTACAAGGACACTTTTCTCTCTGCCAACTCTCTATAATCCTCAAAGATTAAACTTGTCACATTACTTTCCATAAGTGGAAGAAACTGTATAGTTTCCATGTGACAAGCTTTCAATCCATTTATAGGGTACAACAACTTTGAACAAACAGAATAGTCCTGGATACTTTAACATTTCCAGATTAAGTTTTGGCTAACAGTATGACTGGAGAGACATGTGCTGAAGAAGTAGAAGACTATCAGTTTTAACAGTATTTCCCGTTAAGACATCAGAAATACATTTTCAGGTCATTCTGAAGAATTAATCCTAATTAAGTAAAGCTGTAATTTAAACTGACCCAGTGAATTTGCATAATGTCACATGCTACCTCAGATTCTGATTCAGCTTTAATTTAATTTAATCTTATTAGCAGAGGTCAGCACTTCCAAATAAGGGCTTTGTACACATTAAAGTGATCTGAGGCAACACACCTACAAGTTCCTGCCCTCTTCTTCCTCCCTCTATGTGTTCTTGACTCCTCAGGTAGGGCACTAAGCTGGAAGTAAGCTACTCACCTTTCTCCCCTCTGCCTGAGTGAATTTGCTAGATGAACTCACAAGTGCAAATGCAAGAGGTAGGAACTCACAAGGAGAGAACAGAAATCCCTGCATGCAGTAAATGCTGTACCTACCTACTTTAGACACTATCATGGATTCACCTACTTCCAACATGATGATTTAACTGAAAGCTGAACCTTTAAAAGTGATCCTCAAGTCTCCAAATCTAGACATGTCCTTAACTAGGCCTGGTTCCCAGACCATTTGAAGGTACAAAATTAATTGACAAAATTCTAAATTACTTGAATCTTGGCTAGTCCCAATGGTTTCCTCATTACTACTACAATATAGGATCTCAGATGGGACATTCAAAACAATAGCTCCCAAGGAGAAGGCTAATGGCAAGCCGTTAACCATAGAATCAAACTCCCCTTTACTTAGGGTTCAAAATTTCTTGGTTTTATCTTCATCTAAACATTTCTGAATTTCTACTCCAACTCCAACATGAAAATAAAGCCCCCCCCAATTTTTTTTTTTTTTTAAACAAGCAAGAACTGCTTTATTTCGTATTTTACATTACATGCATTTCTTAAGTAACCTCTAGAATAACACTTTGGTTGTTTTAAAAAAAAAAAAAATCAAAGTTGCATTCAGTCGAGATAATGAAAACAGTATCTCAAAATTCCCTGAGTGGGTTGACTGTTTCAGTGGGATTAGACCAATTTCACTGAAGTGAGTACAGATTTTATACAGAAACACACCAAATTGATTTGCAGGCAATGAAATACATAGAGCAGAAGTTGTTTTACTTCAGCTACTTGGCTAAATAGAAAAAAAAAAATTGAAATAAAAATCTAAAATCCATTCTGCAAACCACCAAAATCATAGCAGCAGAATTACACCGTTTCTACCTGGATTGCTCTAACTGTATGTTATCGTCATTAGGAAATAATAGATAAAAGACACAAATTAATCCCAAGGAATAATCCAATAACCAGCAATTACTACTTGAATATATACACCTATAAGACATGTAAATAAAAACAATGAAGGAAAGCAATCATGATATAAGCAATAAAACGTAAACCACTTACGCTCCTGGCCCTTGCCACGTCCATGTGATTGTATCCTAGGAAAAGCAGCATGAGAGTTGCAATTAATTATTGTATTTTAAACTTTAATTACATTATAGATACTAGAACTGACGACATAGGACTAAAAGGTTTTCATGGAAACTTCAGTGCCCTCTTTGCAGAATTTTGTAGCCCCAGTAGGAATTGGCCTATCTTTTATGTAGCTAGGAAATACCCAGTAATCCAGCTCATGAATACAGATGTTCTGTGTTTACAAAACATTCAAAGATCCAGGGATTCTTCAAATGCTCTTAGCCTTGGAAAAGAAAGTTATTTAGTGTAAACTGATGTTCCTTGATATGCATTGTCCATGTGTATTTTCCTAACCCAGTCTGTTCCAACAGGGTGTCCCTCAGGTGTCCCTACACTTTACTTGGATCTCCCAGCAACAGATACAACAACCACTGTAACACTTCTGAAGTGTCTGGAACCTGTAGGGATGACTGAAAGGAAGTCAGCTCAACTGACATGAAGCAGCAGGACAAGTAAGACCTTATGTCTTACCTTAAAACAGTATTTTTCCAGTTGCCTTTACTCACAGATGGCATACATCCACCTGCCTGATCCAAGAATCAAAAGGTACGTTATAAGACATCTAAACCCACCAATTTGCTCTCAGGCAAGACCAGCATGGGTCATCAGATGGCTGAGATGAACAGTGTGTAAAACAGTGAGAGGACAAATAGCAGGGAAAAAGGTGAACAAGATGCAAATAGCAAAAAGGGAACAGGGATCTGGAAAGGAGTATGTAACAGGTGACAGGAAGGAATATGACAGCAAAAGGTCATCACGTTTTTAACTGTAAGACAAAGAAACAGCATAGGAAAAAACTGCGATACTTGGAAATGATATTTAAGTGTAGAAGTGAGAATCCAAAAACCTGAAAATGAGTTCCAAGCTACTGTTCTGACCAACTGGGAAAAAAAATGTACAAGTCATTAACAGAAACACAAGATGACTCAGTAAATTAAGGTTTCTAAAAGACCATATCAGAAAGATATTTCTATCAACCTACTGAAAATGTTCCAATTCAGTTCTACGCTATCATCCAAAACCATTTTAGAGCATTTAGGTGATCACATGTGCCATGAGCTTGAAAAATCAAGTCAAACTCCTGTTTTAATTACCATTTAGAGCAAAAGGCTGTCACAAGTGAAAACGAAAGCAAGCAACATATCCATAGAAGATGAAAAATGTGATTAATGTGACAGATCAACAGCTTGGAGTAAGTTAAATATATCATGAAGGACTACTAAAAAATTAAATATTGACTTTCAACAATTATTTTAAATCAAACAAAATATGATAAAGAACAATTCTATCTTCAGCAATCAACATACATGCATGAAAATAGACTTCTCCATGTAGTCATCTTGTAGAACTTCAATGTCTATAGTTTTACTGTTAAACTGTTTCTGGCAATTTTGATATCTCTGATAATACTGCAAGTAAACACATTATGGAGTTTGTTTTTTCCACAGGGAACTTTCGTTTACAAATCCTGACCATTGCAATGTAGATAGCTGGTAATTTCTCTAATCAGAAACTACATCTGCCATATAGAACAACACAGCACTACACATATACCACTCAGTGCTCTAAACTGCAACAGTGCAGAAGGAGACAAACAAAAAAGTGAACTCTATACAGGTACCTTGCCAGGGCAATGAAACTGAACAGCAAATAGGTATTTTCAGAATCCAGCCGTTGGGCTGGCTAGCTGGCACGACAAACTCAAGTAAGCCATGTGTCTATCAACAATCCTGTGAGAAATTACAATGTGAATGTCACAGTAGAAATGCATGCTTTTTCTCATTGAGAACATCAGGATGCACCAGGGATGACGACTAAATGCTAGGTAGTAGAAAACAGGATTCTGTCCTGCAGGAGGCACACCTAATTTGTAGGAGACTCCTGCTAGCATATGAATATTTTTTATTATAAAAACAGCAAGCAGAAGACAGGAAGTGGTATTTTCTGTATCTAGTTTAGATACCTTTTAGATTTATCACAGTTACCAGCTTATGCTTATGGACAGCATTCACTTTGACAGCATACTGAGTACATTTTGAAACTTTCACATCTAGGTAATGACTTGTTTGAATTGTGTGGAAGTACCTCTTCCATATAATTTGTATTTGACACAAGAAGATACTGCGTATCATGCCAAGCTTCAAACAGCACACTGGCTGTGTTTTCACATGGTCAATCAACCCTGATACACCAAAGCTGCACAAGAGATGCTTCCAAACCTTTTATCAAATAGCACAGTTACCTGTAGGAGACATTTGGACATAAAAATACATTTTAAATGTCTCTGATATTTAAACAGGTATATAGCCTTTCATAATTACCAGCACTCTGACAGAAAATACAAATGAAGGAAAAGCTGTATACATAAAGATTATAAAGTATACATAAGGATTACTGTAGAGCCTATGGATGGAGACATTAGAGCATTTCTTTTAATTAGAATATAGGCAACAGCTGTCTAGCATCCAATAGGCAAAATATAAAGATAAAAATATAAAAGATAAACAGAAGCAAATTTCTAATTTCAAGTCTAAACAACATTTTAAGCCTTACAATTTCTTTCTGCTCATGCATCAAGAGGAGCAACATACTAACATACTACTCCTAAAGAAACAGCGACACAGGACCAGAGGCATCATCTACTGGAAACAATCACAAGCTCAAAGAAGAAAGGTATTCAAGGGCAACCCTGACTAGAGGAAGAGTTCTTCATGGCAACCGGAACTAGATTCATTTGATAGAAGAGAAATGAATTTACATCATCATTTTTTGCCATATTTCAGTCCGCTGCAGAACAGTATAATACTTTACCTAGTTCTTGAATACAGTACAAGGAAATAAACATGTAAGAATGCATACACCTACTACATTCACCCCAGGCTCTGATCTCCGAAAGCCTCCCAAAACAGTCAGCTGCATTCAAGTCCAAGGCTGTTCTCATCTGTACTGTAGAACTCAGAGCTCTGAAGGCACAACAGAGCAGGCAGTTCAAGCTAAAAGCAGTGGGGTGACCGCACACAATGCACATCTGGAAATCACTGGCTAAGCAAAAATCTTAAGAAACTCCTTTCTAAACCTAAAATTATAATATGCAGCAGTCAAACCAGGCAACAAACAGGAAGCCAGAGACAATTAAAGTTTGTTAGAAATGCCGTCTTAGTGTATGAAAAACAATGGTTTTGTTTTTGCTATCAAAATATCTCCCTACTCTGTTGTTCTTGCTACCTAACCAAAGTAAGTCTCACCTTCATATATCACATCATACTCCTCCTTCTATCCTTGCTGAAATTCTTCCACAGCCCCCAAGCTAATCTAAAAATTAAATAGTAATAGCAATTATTCTCCCTCCACCTTTCATGCTTAGTCAAAGTAGACCTTAGGAGGTTAAATGACTCAGTAAGGCACTGAAAACCTAAGTGTTTTACTTTTTCCTAACACTTTTAATTGCTGTGAAGTTCCACACACAGGAACTCTGTATATGGAACACAGGCAAATTCTGATGGATACCTATATAAAATTTTCAGTTTCTTTTATAACATTTTGCAATAATATTAAAAAATAATAAAGTTTTCATTAAAATTTACATTGATTTACCTCACTATAAAAAGATTGTGATTTCTGTTAATAGAGGATTAGGAATTTTTAATACTAGTTTACCAACACTGCCTATTATGTACTACAAGCAATAAGCATATTTCAATATGAAAATGGATTTTTGAAGATACTTGCAAATTAATGTTTGATAGCTCTATATTGTTTGATATTGTTTTAAGTAAGTTTACTATTAACCAAAAATAACAAGGTATATTAAGCATGACATCAGGCGTGTGCATTTTTGCAACTTAAACTGGCAATGTTTAGAAATACATTTAGAAAAGAATCTTTCTTCTTGAAAATAAAACTATTATGTAATGAAAAGTCCCAGGCAACCTGCTACAACGCACTTAATACTATGAGAGCATAACAGGCTGTTGTACTTGTCAAAGCATCTGCAAAGATAGTTTTTGGGTTTGTTACTGCAAACTAGTTGACTGCCATCACAGCTTGTCTCAGTCAAAAGCAAATAGTGGTCTATGTATATTAACTTTGGTTAGGTTTTCTTCTTTAATCAAGCATATGTTTCATATCAACCTGTAAATTGACAGAAAGAACAACAGATGGAAATACTTTTAAACATAAGCACTCAGGTACCAAAAGGAAAAAAAAAATCCTTCCGTAGATCAAGGAGGTTTTTAATGCAATAGTCAGAGAGAGGTAACATGAGATCTTCTGACGTCACATGCATCGGCAAAGAGGCAAGATAGACCTTATTCTACTTCTGACACTCCCCCCATCCTCCCCTAAGTAACTTGAATTTTAGAAGGGGGACAGACTGGACCTGAAAATAGCCCCAGAGGGCTCAAAAAGAAACTTCAAGTATAAAAGCTATCAAAGTTCACTAAGAAGCATCTTCTAATTAACTAAGGAATGTAGACAGACAGGATTCTGTCTGCAGTAGGACAGGAAAGTATCTACATCAGGTAAACTGAATAATAATAATTTTTAAAAATCCTTATTCTGTGCTTTCCTGTAGGCTTGATACTGAAGCAGATCAAGTGAGCTTTGTCATCCTTTGTTTGCCTCTATCTTTACAAGCATTTGTAACAAGTGTTTAATTTAGACATTGTAAACAAACTATAATTTGCATGTATAATTTACATGAATCTGATTTAGGTTGAAGGACTACTCCAAATTAGCTAGTGTCTAGCATTCACTGTGCACTTGGCTAAGGAATGTAAAACATGGATGATGAGACACATTATAAAGGTGGCAAGATCCCCAACACATTATTCTGTTATCATTTAGCTAGTTGCATTAATTTGTGACTAACATCCCCACAGGCAGGAGGTGCAGAAGCATCTTCCAGCAATAAATGGTATTAAGAAAACTCTCCGGCACACACTGCAGCAACAGGGAGTAGAGGGGAACACAGATCCTAGACAGAAGTTTTTATTTGTCTTTTCATTTGCACAGTACTTCTTCTAACAACCTGAATAACTATCAGAGCACTGTTTTAAAGGAGTAACCTAATAAAAGCAGAAACTTTTGAACTGTCTCAGTTAAGACTATTTATATTGCTAGAGGCTTAAGGAATACATACTTATCAATAAGGATTTATTAACACTTCCCTAATTTTTAAACCTAATTATCTAACCTAAAAGATTACAGAAGTGCCAACGTATTTAGAGGAAAATGCCTCGTATTTACTGCAAGCTGAACTTACCAGTTTGTTTGGATAACGTAAAACCACTGGCTGTACAGGAACTCCAGGAATAAATGCTCCTAGAAGGCACATATGGCATATCATTACTTTATAGTGCATTTTGGTACAGAATAAATTTATTGCAGTAAAGAAAAAAAATAAATACAATTACTAGGCTGATGTACATAGGAATTAGTTGATAGTGAAAAAATAAGCTCCAAAAGCAGCCCCAGAAGTAATCTAGAGAGCAAGCACTGAAGAATGACAATGTATACCCACCTTTTCAGAAGATAAATTAAGAATGCTTGCTTGCATTCTCTGAATTATTGCTACTACTTACATAAATTGTCATGTACAGAAGTCAAAGCCCAGGACAAAATTCAGCTTGATAAATAATTAAAAAATAAAAGTATGTGCCAGATAGTTAGTTAAGTCAATACATTCCCTGTGGTCAATAGTATTTTTTGGTGAAGAACCTAAGCTTTCTTATGTAAAAGAAACTTTCTATTTTTAGCTGAGCAATGTTGACTTATAGGAAATTTATCATCTCTGAAGTAACAGAATTAATTTAACTTATTTTCTCCCACCTTGAGGCCCCTCAGAAAGGCTTGTTTATTCTGTAGCTATGGAAAATCTAATAGTTAGAAAGTAGAACTACAGCTATTGTATAGGAGTATCGCTTCATTTCATATGAAAATTATAGTTCTGATAAATAAGTAGCAGAAGATCTGTAAATGTCACTTGCTAATGATTTTGTTGGTTTCTAGCACAAAAATTGGGTAAGCATGATAACTATCTTGCTCAAGATTTCTCCAAGTATTTTTTGTGTGAAAACAATTAATAAAGACAGTCTTCAAAATATGTTTTTTTATAGCAATTTACAAAGTTCCGCCTAATGTTTTGATTAAAATTAAGAACTGAAAGATGGAAGTATACTGCATTCTTAGCATTACATTTGCTTCACAGAAAAATTGCATAGTTGTAAAAGAAGTAATTGTTAATTTAGCATGAACATCTTTAAACAAAAGTTATCTGAATAGGATCCTGCAGAGATGTGGTTCTTGGGCCAGTGGTACTTTCTATTCAGTCTCCAAGAACAACAGCTTAAGCAACTTTTGAAAGAATCCGAAGATGACAAAATCTGAGTGGTTGATGACAACACCACCATTTAAAGACAACTAAGACTAGCTTGCCCTGTATGACTAGCTTGCACAAAGACAAAACCAAAAAACTGTGTAGTAAGAGCAAGCAGTGTAGGCCACATGAGTGGAATGGGAAAAGGCATCCTGAAAGTAGTTACTTCAATAGACATCTAAAGTAATTTGATGTAAGTGAGGAATTTTGAGGCAAATGATTTCTGGGAGGCTGGATGGATACAGAAGCAGGTTCCAGTAGGAAAAGTGAGAGACAGTCAAGAGGCACATACCAGGCCAGAGGAGAGGGATTTGTGGTGGAAAGTATATGGTGCTTGGAATGTCTACGGCTCAGAGGAAGGGCAGGAAATCAGGGCTTTAATGAAGGATTCTGGCTGGTTTTCAAAGTATGGCCAGGATCCAGGTGGAGAGAGAGTGAGAAGGAGAGTAAAGAGCACAAGAAGCGGGTGTTCTCCTAACCACCACTCATTCATCTAAACAGGTATGAGCTGAGAGGGAAGGAAGAAAAACTTTTTGAATGTTTGTTCAGGAGACAATACTAAGATTCCTTCAGCCAAATGAATCAGTGCAAGGAATCGCAATGCTGACTCATTGCATGATATTCTAATAGCGAAATGTAAGTAAGTTGTAAGCAACATAAAATGTAAGACAGACATTAAGACCAGAACACAATGAGCTAGGCAGAAACCTAGGAAGAGTCAAACAACACATTCACAACCACCTCAATCACTGCAACTTCCTCATTCACCATCTCCCTACATTTTAATTCTTATTAATTTTACATTAAACATTGGTGGTTCACTGCAGTATTGGCATTTCTCCCTATTGTAATCGCAGTTTACAGCTGCAACAATGTTCAGTGTATACCCTCTACTAATTTGATAAGCTAGAAGGGTGATACTAACTGAAGACATCTTAGAATGTGGATGTTAAATAAAAAAATATTGTAAAAAATGACAGCCTCTGTAGCAAGTGCTATACCGACAAGATTCTTATGTCATCTTCACCAGAATGCAATTCAACAGGAGAGTTCAAGAGGAATCAGCCACCTACAACACGGCAACAAATGCTGCAGCAGCCTGAAATAGACACACACTGATACCCTAAGCTTCACAGTGTATCTAAATACTGCATGAAAGACCCAAAAAAGGAAATGGAGGGTGCAAGAAAAAAAGGAAAAAGACAAGCACAAATAAAAACCCATTTTGAAACATTAGTTCTCCAGCTCACGTGCATTTCAGAAGCCAAGAAAAACTCTGAATTATCTAAAACGTTTTGCTCAACAATGAAACTACAATCCTTTTGTAACATCAGAAAATTTCTACTCCAATTCCACCCTACTGCAAGGTTTTTAACTTCTGCAACAGCAAGCAAATTACAATGCAAGTGGTATTTCAGAAAATGTTACAAGAACATTCTGTAGAGAACAGAGAAATTACCATCATACCTACCAGGCTTGAATGTAATTAGACAGGATCGGTTTGTGCAAGTGCCCTCTGGGAATATCATTATCTTGAAGTAAAAAAAAAAGTTGACTTTTAAGAACTATTTCAGTGTGGATTTATTTATAAACACATCTTTTCAAAGCTAACATTAACTGTTTACAGTAAAAAAAGTTTTCAGGGAAAAACAGTTCAGTTAGAGTAAAAAAAAAGATAGGGCTCAATGAAGTAGTCAAGTACAGTTCTGTCTTAATAGTCAAAATATTTTTCTTTATCTTTGAATTTGTCTCTCTTGACCTCTGATAATAATTCCATTCGACTGGAACATGGACAGTGACTAGAAACACTTGTGAGTACTACAAGAGAATTTTCACAAAAGGTTTGGTGCTGGTAAAAATACTACATTCTCTTTTGTACCAAGACAAAATTCCTGCTCCCAAGCTACCTGCTTACAAGCTAAGAAAAGGAAGACTTTTTTTTTTTTTTTTGCATTTCTTACTTGGCATGTGCACAGATGTCAAAATGATAAAGGCTGGAAATATCTAAACAGAATTCTAACAATGCAAAAAATGCTCAAGTTGAACCAAATTCAGAGGAAGAGGTTAGACTGTAAAAAAAAAAGTTTTGGACAGCAAAAAGCTAAGTACTGCTGAAAGTCTGTTGAGTTACAGAATGAGATATTTAGAGGAAACAGATACATATCGTAAGGGGACAAAGCAATAGACTAGAATGAACATTACTAGTTTTATTGCCCACTCTGGTACTAGCTTGCTAGATATTCTGGAAATCACACTCTGCAACTCGGTTTCCTCATCTGTAAGTAAGAATATTTACTTTTTAAAGTGCTTTGAAATCTATTGATAAAAGTCATGATGTGAAAGCTATATATCGCCTTTCCATCACATTGTTTATAACTGTTTATAATGTTTCTGTAGCCCAGTATGCAGACCTAACCACTGTAGTAATAACAATGCCATAAAAGAAATACTGTTATCTCAATCTCAAAAATTCACAAGAATGTTTTAAGTTTTCAAAATAATCACATGCTTCTAGAAAACTGAGGCCTTAGGTAGTCATCCCTTCCTTCCCATCACCCTCTTCCAAGGCACATTATAAATAGTCATATTTCAGGTGCAGAAAAAACCCTGAGCCACTTATTTTAGCAATGTTTTCATTATGTGGTCCAATACAGGTGTACTCCAGTTACTGGAACATCTGAATTGCTTGGGCTGTCTTGGCCAGTATTGCATCTCCAACAATGACAGTATGTCAAAATCTTGAGAAGGGCAAGAACACACAATACTCCCCCCAAGGTATTCTACTGAGCACCTGATTATTTTCTTCTTGGAGGACTTTTTAAACCTGCTGTGGTCTGTCCATTTAGTATCACTTAATAGAGCTGTATTCCCATGTACTTACCCAGTCTCCCCTTGAAACACTTCAATGAAAAACTAGTGTTTTGTACATAAGAATCTTACATTGTATCTTCTAGAAAGAAGGGGGGAAATCCCACTCCCTACAAACTATCTAAAGCATCCCACAAAGAAAAAACTAAACTGCAGATCCAAAGCCTGGAAATCCCAAATACCATCTGTCACACAGTAGTAGTATACAGTACCTGTGGCCATTTACCATCAGACTGAGCACGTCTCTTTATCTCTTCAACAGTTTTCCTGCGAGAATCCTGGTCTGACCGAGATACAAATACTGGCCGGATGTATTTGATTAGAGCTGAAGAGGAAGGAAAACAAAACCAAGCAAAACAGCCTTTATTTCATCTTTGTTTGAAAAAGATTCCCCCTCAACCCCCGTGGTCCTCTGGACAAAAATTTTGGTACAAGTACATAACTATTTTACTACATTACACTGCAAACTTAAATATTCAGCTGAATTATTGACGTTTTATTGAAATATTTTCATGAATTCCCACGAGGAAAACCATTTTCACAATTTTGGCATTTTGTTCAATTTTTAATAGACTAATACACATAATACACATACATTACATAATTTAAAACATGATCATACGTATTATGCATAGTTTTCTGCAACAAAGCAGCTGTGGCTGACTACAGGCCATTTCCTCCTACCACAAAAATCTATAGCCACCCCCAATCCAGCAAAGTAGCAGGAACCTCCCAAGTAGTTCCAAGAGACATTCTGTGGGTCAAACTGCCACTGTCTTTAGAGCTTTTGTCTCCTATGACAGCTCAGCTTCACTGAAGATACACCAAAGACATTCCATACATGGATTATGTTATCTTTTTCAAAAAATCAGCATGATAAAAAAAAGCATGCTTATTTTCTGTGCTATCACCTGTTTGCCAGTTCCTCATACCAGATGAATCAGATCTCAAGTATCCTCTTCCTGGCTCAGTAGGAAACCTCTTATACATAGCCAGACACAAAATGAGCGTGAGCAAGAACCAGAAATCAATCCACAATATCCTCTCTCCATGCATGTCCGTCACAAGGACATCAAGGCCCACTTAAAAAATAGTAATTAGCATATACAACTCTTTTGCAGTGTCAAAAAGCACTGTAAGAGAAGCATCTCCAAATATACTATTTCATGCTTTTAAGCAGGTTGTCTTCAATTACCTTTTTATCATTTTTGTATCTTGTAATCTTATTTGAAGGTTCAAGAGCCACTAAATCATTAGCTATTCTATTTGCCTAATACACAAATATAAAATACAGTTTTCATATTTCCAACTACGGCAAGATGAATTCACTGACACTTGTTGTATAATCTTCTTTTGTCAAGGATAGATTTGCTGTGTTAATGGATCAGCCAGTGCTTAAAGTGTGAAGAAAAAAAACAGCATAAGGAATTACAGTCCTGTACTCAGCAAAAGCTGCTGATTCTGGTGTTACCCCATCGGCAGTTTAGTCAGCTCTCACTGAAATCTTTCTATGGTTCTGTGAAACTAATCTGTCACACCTTACAGCAAGTTTCCAAACATTCCACCAGTCTCTGAAATACTGCTTTTATCCCACAAGCTGCCGAAGCTTAGGAGACAGAGAGTATCAGAAAAAAGTTACGATACTCTTGCACTTTTTTCTACGTGCCTGCTCTGAGACAATATTCACACAATAATGCTTGCTAGGGGAGCAAAGATCGTCATGGGGTTACTGCTGTGGGAAGGTAAAAAAAAAATCCAACCAAACAAAAAAAACACACCTCAAAACAAATCACAAAACCACCACATTAAAAAAAAATAGAAAAAACAAACAGAACAAGCAATAAACAATGCCAAAGATATACTGGGTTTCATAACTCTCTTCATTTTGTTTCTTAGTAACACTAGTCCTCAGTTTCCCCTACTGCTGCATATTACTATTCTGTGGCAAAACAAACATTATCAAGTAAACGAAAGCAAAAAAGACTCAAACAGTCTCAACCTTCACACTGAAGTTTCTTTTACATTAGGCCTGAACAATGGAATTCAGGTTATTTCAGGCCAACGAATGAACAAGATAATTCCAGAGCTCTGAGGCTCTTATCTGAGGATGCACTGCAAGCAGGGTCTTCTTAATAACACATGAAATTAAGAAAGCAGATAGATTTTACTTCGGGCATTATGACAGAAACATCAGACTATAGACAACTTACTAATTCTGAATCTCTAATCACTAATGTAACCTACATCCAAAAACTGGACAGGCAAGCAGTGTTAACCTGGGAGTTTTACTGTTACAACCTTCCTAAAAAGAAGCTATTGCAATGTTACCAAGCTCTAAAATAACACACTGCAAGTTATCTTACAAATGGACAACACCACAAACAGCAAAACACCCACATGCAAAGAAAAACTGTTATGGTATTCCAAAAAAACAGGACAACTGAAAGCTTGGTTTCCTATGGATTTGTCCTGCCTGTTGAATTACAGGCTGCAAGGTAAATTCATTTCTTTTCTCTGGTTCAGACAATATTTTCATGCAGCTTGCAGAACTTAGTATCTTTTAAACCATTAGCTTTCTTTCAAATATGCATGAAGCCGTCACCATTTCAATCCATCCCACCAAATCTTAGCCTAATGGAGGGACAAGGTGATCACACTAAGGTTTACTTCCTTAGGGATCAGATTAAAAACCTGACAGAATTCTGGTTTTAACATTGAACAGTAACTTAAGATAGTGTAAGACACCAACTACCAGGCCTTAGTGGCTAAGTCCAACGATTTAAGTGAAATTGAAACTCATCCATAAGAAGCTGAAAGCACACACCAAGGGAAGACTAGCTCTGTACTTGCTTTTCCTCATACGCTCTTTTCATAACCACTTTTGAAAACAGAGCACAAGGCTACACAGACCTTTACTCTCACCATATATTTTCATGTTCAGTAAACAGGCAGGAATCTGAAAATTCAAAGGCTGTACCAAGTTGGTCTGGGACAAGAAGCAGTCAGGAGCAGACCCAAAGGTCTGTAAAGAGAAGCTGAGAAACATACCAAAAATAGATGGACTAGATGAGACTGTGGTCAGAAGTCAAAACATGAGGAAGCCTGGAGACAGTACTGTAAGTTAGTATATGATGCAAGGATTAGGCAGGACTAGAGCAAAGCCCGAGCAGGAATAAAAAGCTGCATGCAAGAAAATGCTTGACAGCTGGCATACTGAGTGACTAAAGGAAACATGCAAACTGTGTAATTGCTTAATAAACAGAACACAATCTTAACCTTCTCTGCTCATCAGTTTAACTGTCCAAGACTGACTGTAACCAGGTAGTAAAGACCACAGCTCAAGTATTCAGAGGTGCTGAAAGATGTGCTTACCCATCTCATCTCACTCCATTAAAACCACCCTTAAATTATATATTCTAGTGGGTGATGGCAGAAAATCCCTCAGTTCACAAAACTGACCTTGCCAGTGTCATTATTCCAGCTTTTTCTCTAGCAGTGTCAGTCCTACTTGATGTAGTCACTCATCCCCAATTTCAGCTCATTACATGCAGTCCTGAAGACAGGTGACACATGCTGTACTCCTCAGGCAGGTGATTGCAATTTAAACAGTACTGCCAGTCATTCATCAAATCCTCTGCCTTGCAGGGCAGCCAGAATGCTACAGATATGCTAACTGACAGCAAGTTGCTTTCTGCAGCACAAAACAGCCTTTTTTAAGACAGCCTGCAAAAAATCAGTATTGTTTTAATTAATTGCAGGGTGGCAGCTCCAACTGATTTCAGAACTGTAACTCCCATGCAATCATTTCAAGCACCACCTGATGTATAAGCAAAAAAGTTTCTGATGAGCTGAACACATACAATTGCTGTCAATGAACTTCTCAGGATAACAAGGGAAAAGAAAAAAAAAGTATTTCACCTGTCTATTTCCAGGCAAATGTTGGTGAGGAAATCTTGTTTCAAATCAAGACATGAAGTGCTATTTAACATACAATAGAAGAAAGTATTTTAACAAACCATTTAAATTATGCTTGACAGTTACAACTACATAGTAGATAAAGCTATACTGGCAGCATCTCCACTAGTCTACAAGGCATCAGAGAACACAAAAAACAACAAAATGGCAATGTGGCACTAAATACTGTTCTTCTAAAATGTATTCATACACACATTTTTGAGTAGGTAGTTAAATTTTCACCACTGTAGAAACAGCATCAGAGTGACAGATCTGCTGCAAGAGTAGACAATGCTGAACCTGAGCCTTTCACTTGGCCTCTCTCCCAAACACCACGAAATCCCATCACCTACATTCCTCTGATACTCTGAGATGGCAGCCTATACAGCCAGTATGACTCTGCTTACATTTAACATGGAGGTAGGCTGTGTAATACAGGTAGAGTTGCAATGGCATATCCATTTACAGTATTTACCCCGTTATTTTTCCTCCTATGGGAAAAAATACAGATTATTTTTCTAATAGCAGTTGCCCTCTTGTGCATTCTGTATTTAGGGCTTACGAAAATATGAAGGCTAAAGGTTGAAAAGCGCTATCTTGGGCTTAGTTTTTAAGAGTTGCCTTACTCAAATGAACATGCTCACAAAGTTCTGACCTCACACCTTTTCTAATTAAGTAATACCCAATACGAAAACTGCTCTTTTCTGGAGAGAAAAGAAGAAATCTGCAAGGGCCTCAAAAGTCTTCTAATGGTTATGGGAAAAAAAAACCATTAAGGTTCCAGAATAAGATGGCTTCCTGTGTATATGGACTGAGAGGTCTTAAAAATGGGAAAAAACCTCAGATCTACACACAACAAATACACAAAGTTGTATCAATGCACAAAACTGAAGTCAACCAAAATTAGGATCTTTTCCACTTGAAGTTATATTCATAGAATCATAGAATGGTTTGGGTTGGAAGAGACCTTAAAGATCACCTAGTTCCAGGCCCCATGCCACAGGCACGGACACCTTCCACTAGACCAGGTTGCTCAAAAAGCCCCATCCAACCTGGCCTTGAACCGTTCCAGGGATGGAGCATCCACAACTTCTCTCAGCAGCCTGTTCCAGTGCCTCACCACTCTCATAGCAAAGAATTTCTTCCTTCTAATCTAATTCTATCCTCTTTCATTTTAAAGCCATGACCCCTTGCCCTACCACTATATGCCCTTGTAAAAAGTCTCTCTCCAGTTTTACTTATAAGCTCCCTTCAGCACTGGAAGGCTGCAATAAGGTCTCCTCGGAGCCTTCTCTTCTCCAGGCTGAACAACCCCAACTCTTTCAGCCTTTCTTCACAGGAGAGGTGCTCCAGTCCTCTGATCACTTTTGG